CCTGTGTCCCAGTAGCTGGAAGCTGCCATCAATTGGCCACAGGTGGGCAATTAGGAGTGGGTTGGCTGGGTCTTCTGTTGCCCCAGGGCACCCTGACCCTTCTAGCCCTTGGCAGGGATTTTTCTTCCCCATGGATGTGTCAAGGTGCTCCTTGAAACCCTGGGAGACATTTTGCACCCATGCTGTGCCACAGCAAGGAGCCCCACAGCCTGGGACCCACTTCCCTTGGCTCTGACACTTGCTGCTTTCCTTTGGCACCTCCTGAGTAGGAGGAGAAACAAGTATGGGAGGAAAAAATGAGCCACCAGACCCCTTCCAGCTCGAAAGGACCTCAGAGCAGTCTTTCATCACCAGAACCAGCTTTTGCTTTCCCCAACCCAAAGGGCTGCCCTCACAGAGCATCACCCAGAGGTGGAGAAGCAGAGAGCTGCTGCTGACCACAAGTCCCCCACTGGGTCTTTCCCCATAAGCAGCTTCCACAACCTCCTCCTTGACACTATCCAACCTGTCCCAAGGGCCCCCAACAGGCAGCAGGTGCTGCCTGGAGGTGCTGCCTGGTGCCAGGAGAGACAGGCAGAGCAGCCCAACCTCTCAGCACAGGCAATCAAACCCCTGCCCTGGCAGGACTCCCTGCATATTAATTACACTGTTATCCAGCCATCTGTTCCTGCAGCCAGGAAAAGAGCAGTCCCTTTGGTCTCCTTTATTAACAAGTTCCCCTGTAAATGCAAACAAACCCTCCCAGCTCAGCACCAGGCTCCAGCTCTGCTTTGAGGGAAGCAAGAGCTTGGGGGCATTTTAGTAAATCAAGAGCAGTGAAGGCAAAGGTGGTGATGTAATGTTGCCTGTGGCCAGGGGAGGGTGAGGAGAGGTCTCTGCAAAGCCAAAAGCACAGATCAGATGGATTCTGATCCTCCTGCTCCCATTAAAGCCTCTCTCCATCACCCTGTGAGGGAAGAGGGAAGGTGAGCTAGTTGCAGGGGGTCTCTGCCCTTGCTCCCAGCTGTGCCCAACCCACCAGGGGGTGCATGTGTCCCTTCTCTCCTTTCCCTTGAGAAAAAAAAAAAAGCCAGCAAGGAATCCACTACACCTGCTGAGTAAAGCATGGAGCCTCCAAAAGGGATCAGCCACACAAAGCCTGCCCTGAAGCATCAGCCCCAGTGACACAAGGACAAGCACCAGTGACAGGGTCATCAGCATCTGTGAGGCAACTCCAACCCCTCTTCTGGTTTTGCTCCTTTCCCAGAGCCAGGAAATCAGCCAGCTTGGGCAAAGGCTGCACTAAACCATCTTCTTGTTGTTTCTCCTGCTTCTCCTTTTCCTAAATATCACCAAAATACCAGTAATTGTCTCCAGGCTCAGCCACTCCCGCTGCAGGGCTGTACCAGCCCGACCCAAAAGCAAGCTGCTGCCATCTCCTGGAGCCTCCCAGGGGTGAGATGGGGCTCAGGAGTGGCAGATCTGTACCCCAGGAACGAGGGACAGGTGCTGTCAGCCTGCACCTTGCTCCTGCAGTCATCCCACCTGAAGCTCCCCCAGGACACACTGAGGTCAATCAGGATGAAAGACTCAAGCCACAGCTTTCACCATTTGCTTTTCTCCTCATTTTATCCTCCTGCACTTCACCACATTGCCCCAGCAGCACAGGAGTGGCAGGGCAGGGGGAATCAAGTGACCTGTGACCCTCTGGAGCACCTTTGTTACTCTTAACACACACCTTCTCTGTACCTTGACATCTGGCCCCAAACAGAGCTGGGCTGCCTGAGGAGGTGGCAGCTCCGTGCATGCACATGATGCTGCAAAGATGTCAGATGCTTAAAGACCATGGAGACAAAGCCCTGTTCAGTAAACAGGGTGAAATCCCAGAGCCCTGAGCAGGGCAGGGTTTTCTCCTCCCCCAGGCCTGGTTACTCACCTCCACGGGAGGTAAATGCCAAAGGCTGCAGGCACCTGAGGGAGCACCATGACTCAGCGTGGTGGCCACATGGCAGCAGCTACAGGACAGAGGATGAAGGTCGAGTGTCTGAGACACCACCAGGAAACACCACCCAGGGTGAAGCATCAGCTTATCTCAGTACACTCAGCTAATTCCTACACATCCCAAAGAGAGGTAACACCCCAGCTCCTTTCCTCCTCTGGAGAATCTGTTCAGAGAGATGAGAAGGGGTGGGATGTGGTTTCATATCTTCAAAGGTCAATGTGCCAGAGGGACAAGATGCCATCCAGAGGGACCTGGAAAAGCTAGAGAAGTGTGCACAGGTGAACCTCATGAGGTTCAACAAGGCCAAGTGCAGGATCTTGCACCTGGGCCCAGGTAACCCAAGATATGAACACAGGAGGGGAAGGTCACACTTGAGAGCAGCCCTATGGAAAAGGACCTGGGGGTGCTAGTGGATCAAAAGCTGGACATGAGCCACCAAGGTACAGTTGCAGCCCAGAAGGCCAAGCCATCCTGGACTGACCAAAAGAAATGTGTCCAGCAGATGGAGAGGTGGTTCTGACCCTCTGCTCTGCCCTGGTGAGAGCTCACCTGGAACACTGCATCCTGCTCTGGTGGCCCCAGCACAAGACATGGACTTGTTGGAAAGTGTGCAGAGAAGGGCCATGAAAATGATCTGAGGTCTGGAGCACCTTTCTGGTGAGGACAGGCTGAGGGAGTTGGAGTTGTTCAGTCTGAAGAGAAGGCTCCACGGGAACCTCAGAGTGGCCTTCCAGTACCTGAAGGGGCTACAGGAAAGCTGGGGAGGGTCTCTTTACAGGGCCTTGCAGTGAGAGGATGAGTTGAGAGATTTAGGTTAGACATCAGGCATAAATTCTTCAGTGTAAGGGTGGTGAAACACTGTCTGCCCAGAGAAGCTGTGGCTGCCCCATCCCTGGCAGTGCTAAAGGGAAGGTTGGATGGGGCTTGGAGCAGCCTGGGCTGGTGGGAGGTGTCCCTGCCCATGCAAGGGGGTTGGAACCAGATGATCTTTAAGGTCCCTTCCAACTAAAAAAAATTGTGATGCTGTCCCACACTTACCTCCACAAACCATCTTCAGCCTTCACAGCAATTAGGTTCCCCACCACAGCAGAGTACAGCACACAGTACTTTGGACCAAGTGGAGAACACCCACACATGTTCACCTTTCACATCCATCCAAGGTCCTCCTGTCTCTGCCTTCCATGCAGAAAGCCACAAGAAGGGGGTCTCACTGTCCTTCCCAAAAGGAGAGCAAATTTCCAGGCACAGGGAATGGCTGCAATTCCAAGCATGGAATTGAGGGGGGTGGGGGAAACAAACCCAAAGACCAAAATGTGCAGGAAAGGAATGAACAGTGTTATCATTAAGGGGATCTGAAGGAGACTGAATAATCTATGAGTCAGTAGGTGCAAACAATCCTGCTCCACCTCAGCTCCACTTACTCATCCCATCCCTGAGTCCCTGCTGGGCTAAGTGAAGCTTTCTGCTTGTCCATGCCATTTCCCCATTCTTGGCTGCATTGGGACTGCTGACACCAGATCAAATAACCTAGGTCCCATGATGAACCTCAAGTTCTAAAAATCCCCAACCCTCAGAGATCTGCTCTATCTACTGTGCCCAAAACAGCAGGACTAGAACAAGAGAGTGTCATTTCCCTCTTGGCAGTGAGGAAAGGCTTTCCCTGCAGCATTTCTGCTGTAGGTCCCTTGGACCACTGGGCACACACACCAGGGGTCCAGCCAACGAGCTCTGGCAGATGGATACACCCCCCCTGGTCTGACAAAACCTGGGCTGCCTATTTCTGGGTACCAAATTGCTGTGGGGCCTGCAAGACCCCTTCTTCCAGCAACCTGCTCCACTGCAGAGCCTGCCACAAGATGTCCAGGTTCTGCTGGAACACAACATCCAAGCTGCATCTACCAGGCTCAGCCAGTCACTGTGTCCTCCAGGTCCAACACCCTCCCCTGCCCTGCTCCAACTCTCTAATTCTATTAATACCCCCTAATAATTACTTTGTTCCAAGACTGCTGAGTAATGACTGCCAACACTTCTGTTTCATTACTATTCCTGCAAAGAAATCAAGCTTTGATACATTGAATTTCTGCAGAGGAGTGACAAGAACTGTCTGCCGTCCTCTTAACATACCAGAGCACAGGGAGAGCCAAGCACTTTATTCTCAAGGCATCTTCAGTGTCACAACTGTGTGATCCAGCTCAGGTTAAAAGCAGCTCACAAGAGCATTAGAACACAAGCAGTGGAGGAAAACAACCAGTGACCAAACTGCATCTACTACCTTTAGGTTTCTTCCTGAGGAGAAGTTTCTGCACCATGTTCTCACTGAAACCAACACTCCCCTCAGTTCCTCCAGAGGTGTTGGGCTTTGGCTTTTCCTTCCTCTAATCAAAAAGCCTGTTCAATTTAGAATTCAACCCACGTGGATTAAAGCAATTCAAAGCAACAGGGGAAGCAGCCCACAGAGGAAGTAGGAATTAACAGCTCTGCTCGTTAAAGCTCACCTTCAAAGAAGGCAGCAACAGAACTCGTCATCACCATTTTCTTGCAGACATTTATTTTTATATTCACAGGAGGATGAACGTAAAAGAAATGTACGTGGATGCTAAATCAAGGCTTTTCTTCCCAACTAGAAGGAAGCCACTCAGCATTTTAATTATTTTCTTTGAGCAGGACTGATGTTCCAACCACTCTGCTCTTTTACTAACTTTTGAAATCAAATTAGTTGAGATTAAAGCAACACAGACACAGAGGTATTTTCACCTCCTGAAAAAAACACCTCTTAGCTGACTTAGCTCCCCTGCCACAAGCCTCTTCACCACCATCTTGATCTTACCTGGTCACACCTGGTTTCCCAGTTGCTGCACTGAAGAAGCAGCTCAAGCCAAAAGCCCAGCAGCAGCAGAGCTGAGAGGAGTAAGTTCACCTGCTGTAAGAGACTAGTTCATCCCTAGATCAAGTGGGTAACCCTTCAGAGCCCTGCAGCCTCTCCCTTCAGAAGACAAGGACATGAGGACAACCCCAGGAGGGTACACTGAAAAAATGAGGCTGTTTTATTGATGATTAGGCTCTGCACTGGCAACAATCATGAAGCTAACACAGACTTCAACCAAAGCATGAGCTTTGAATCAGAAGTCATAAAGTGACATGATGCCTTAATAAATTAAGGAAGTTGTTAATTCCTCTCCATCATCAACTCTTCTTCACTTGAAGTTCTTTGCAAAATCCTCTCCTTTCTTAATAGAAGCCTTCAGCTCAGACATGGCCTCAGAAACCATCTTCTGCTCGAAGGGGGAGATCTTGCCAATACCTAGATTCTTCTCAATTCCTTTTTTCTGAGGGAAAGAGGATTTTAGGATTAACCATTCATCAAATGACCTAGAGAATAACTTAACAGCTCTGATTAAGTATTATCCAGCTGAGATGGAGACCCAGCCTGGGACCCCTATCATCACAAGTCTGGCAAGCCTGTGCTTCCTGGCAGGACTCAAAAGGCTCCTCATTATCTGGAGCAAGCTCCACAGCCTTCACAAGTTTCATTCTTTTCACACTGAGGTGTGAAACTTGCAGCCAGCCCCTCAGCTCCTTCAGGAGCAGACTGACACCAACTCCTCCTTTGTGCCTCCTCCTCTCTTCAAACCCACCATTTGGCAAGAGAACTTATCTCCTTTGGTGTATGCCCTTCACTTGCCATGGGCTTCAGAGCTGCACTCTGAAGTGCAAGAGACCTCATGCCTACATCCAAACCCTTTCCCATTAATCCCCCTCCACTTCCATTCCCTCAGCTAGCCCTGAGGACAGCACACACCATCCTCTGCATCCCAGCAGACATGTCAGGGCTGCAGCATCCTTGTTTTCCACTCCATCCACAGGGCAAGAGAGATCAAAGGAACACTCCTTTCAGAGTTCAGTAGAGGTCCTGAAAGGAATCCAGTCATCCTAACCCTGTAGCTCCCCATGCCTCTCAGTTTGAGGGATTTGCTCAGAGCAAGCTGAGGAGCCAGGACTGCTGACTTTGGGCAATCATAAAAAGTCCTTCACAAACAGGGATCAATTTGAGGCAAGTGTGACCTCATCAGACAAGTCTGAATCTCTGGTGACCTGGTGCTCAGAGCAGCCCTGTGGAGCACAAGGTCTATGCCTAAGAACAAACCCTAAATATGCAACACCCCTTGAAGGGAGGCTCAGCTCTTCACCTCAGCAACACCTCACATTAGGCTAAGCTGAAACCACCAAAGAAAAACCACCAGAATGAGTCAGCAGCTGCTGTTTTAAGCCCCCTCAGCAGAAGTACATACTCCCAGCAACAGAGGTGTGGAGAAGTACGGGCTCTCTGTCTCCTCTGACCGCACGAAGGCGCACTCGATAACCCCCTCCTTTCCATTCATGGCATCCACCAGGGAGAAGACAAACCGAGCACCAGCGTAGGCCATGGACAAGGTGGCAGAGCCTGAAAAAGTTAAATCCCTTTTAGAACAGCTGACAGTGAAATCTGATCGTTTGTTTAGCATCAAAGGCTTCCAAGCCTGTATCTTTACTGAGCTGCAGTGGCACTGATCAAGCTCCGAGCCAGCTCAACTAAGCAGCAGCTGCTGGCCAGCTACAGGTTATTTAATTCCCCAGATGTACAATAAGAATCAACTTAATTTGACAGAGCAGATTCATTCTAAAGCCATGGGTAGTGTGGGACCAGTTAGTGTTAAGTCTTACCTACATACTGAGCTGCTTCTAGAACCACAGGTTCAGGCAGTCACTGACATGGCAGAGCAGCTAGATCTGCAATCAGCACTTGGCAATTCTGCACCAGCTGTACATAAGGTTAAACTGAAGACGACTGCATCCATTCAGCTGGCCAACAAGAATGACTTGGAGGCTGCACTCAAGAACCAACCTGCTCCTGCTTTAGCTTGGACAACTTCAGTGCCAGCTTCTTGAATTCTTCCTGTAAGCTTTTCCAGCTGATCCTGAGGAAAGTCCACTTTTGGTGTGCACTAGATTGGAAAAAAAGAAGTTACTATGGAATACCAGGACCCCCCCAGATTCAGCATAAGGCCCCCCACCCAATGCTTCCTGTAACATTCCAGCTACCACAAGAAGTTCTCCAAGGGGAGCCTCAGTAACCCCAGCCTACAGACTGCATGATGTGACCAGCTGCAAGAGCTCACCAAAGCTGCTGGTTATGGCATGGGCTGTACCAGGAACCTTAGCCATGCCTGGCTTGCTCCAGGACAAACCACAGCTTGGCACCAAAGCCTCTGCCATGGTTACTTGCTACTGGGTAGTCTTCTGTATTAGACCAATGTCTCCCATGCATGTAACAGCCCTTAGGAATTTCAAAAAGCACCTTGCACATATTTGTGTAACAGTGGCATTATGGAAGGCAAGAGCCTTATGAAGGATCCAGCCTGCTAGCAGAATTTAGGAAGTTAGTGGATACAGATACTGCTCCACAAGTTAAGCACAGCTGTCTGTCCCAGTTGACTAACCAAAACACACTCTCAGCATTCAGCAGCTTCAAAACCCTCACTCTTATTCCCTAAGAACATGTTTCTATGAAGAATACTTTATCCCCCATGTAAAGGTTCTTTCCCTTTTCTCAGACTGCCACACCCCAGCCACCTCCTCAGAGCTGCAGCCTGCTTAAGAACTGCTTTTCATTCTGGCTCAGCTGCATGAAGAGAGTCTCTCTCTGACTAGCAAGGAGTCACTCCCAGAGCAGGGCTCCTCACCCAGCTCAAGCTATGTCTCCTCATTGCAATGCTGCCTGTGGAAGTGGTGGTTCTTGTCCACCACAGCAAAACCAGTTTAATTTCCCTGCTGAAGGAAGGTATTAATAGCCTGAAATACCTGTCACAAAAAATAAAACCCAAATCAAACAGTGCCAAGACATCTCAACACCCACACCTCAGTGCTTATCCCAGATTCCTTCAGTGGAGAAAGGCTGGAACTATATAAACTACCCAGGAATGGCACCTGGATTTAGCTCATTGCCTTCCAGTTTCCAATACCTCATCTCAGGATGAAAACAGCTACATCAGCAGGGAAGACTCCTTGCTGAACCTTAGCATGTTACACCCCTTAACAAAGGCACTTCCCATCAACTCCAAAACATTGATGAGCATGATGCCACACAGGACACTAACAATGACATACCTGAGAGATCAGAGGGATAATAGTCTTCCCAGCATGGCCACCAATAACTGGAACACTTACTCGAGCTGGATCTAAGCCCTAGGAGAAAATGTGACACTTGCCAGTTTCTGCAGCATACAGAGAAGAAAACATTTAAAACCACCATGCTCCATTTTCTGCTCAGGGCTTTTGGACACAGGGCAGAGTCTGAGGCAGCTACACAGCAGATGTACACAGCTGAACCCCAGCTTACTCTGACAACTTCTGCTACAGGACATTATTCATGCAAGTTCAGGTAACAGCATCACCAGTACAAACTCCAGAAGGGCTATGACCTGTTACACCTCCTGGTACTTCACAGAAGACCCTGTCACATGCAGCACAGCTTGACTTGCAAACACATGCTACAACTCAGGCCTCTCCTTCGGTTGCACCTGCAGGGCTGGAAATGCCAGGAGAACCAAAGTGAACACTCAGCTCACTGATGGGGGGCAGCTATGAAAAGGAAAGGTCAAAGCCTCTTGAAGCACATTTTACAAGAAACCCTATCCCCAGGCTCCTCTGGGAAATGGAGACAGGGAATCACTGCCTCTGCCTTAAGCTCCACAGAAACCTGAGCTCCTCTGGCTCTGTGCAGTGGTTTCAAAAGCATTTTTCATAGTCCTAATGACCAAAACACACCATATCCCTCCCCCAGCACCTGTTACTAAGACCTGCCTTCAGTTCAGCCACAAAAGTGTTTGCTCTGACAATGTCCAACGTTGTCACACCAAAGATTCTGTTGGGATTATACACACCCTGCTTCTTGAAGACTTCTGAAGTTATGGGGATGGTTGAATTTACCTACAGGCAAGAACAGACAAGCTTTAATTAAAAGCAGCCTAATAATGAAGCCCATGCATGATCTGAAGAGGCAGCAAACAACTCAAACCACACTTCCAACTTGAACTCAACTGTAGCTTATCATTTTAATTCCTAATTGAAGAGCAATTTACAGTCAGGCTGGAATAAAAATCTTCCATAATAATTTATTCACTCATGTTACAAAGGCTCCTTCTCCCTTGCTGAGCTAAGACTTGTACTCCAGCTAATACAGCAGCATGGATTAAAACCACAGTCATACAGATATTAAGATATTAAGCACTTTTATATCCAATCTTCCTCTGACTTAAATATAGCCAAGAGAAATGGGTCAGTAGAACCAGGATTTTACTTATTTTCTGCAAATTAACTGTAGAACTCAAAGATTCTGGTCAAAACTAGATTATTCTAGTATTCTCCTAGATTTTCCCCCCCCACCCACATTCCCAGGGTCTCCAGAAAATACTTACTGGGTTAGAAATGATACAGATCATGGCTTCTGGGCAGTGCTTTGCACAGGCAGTTGTCAAAGTAGCAACAATGCTTGCATTGGTGTTGAACAGGTCATCACGGGTCATACCTACAACACGTTCAGGGCAGGATCTGAAGTTACCCACAGTCTGCTCCTTAAGGAGGAAGCAACTCAACCACAACCCAATATTCTGCTCTGGAGGGATATGCTTCTGGTTTTATAGATCAAAAGAAAACTCTACAGCTGTAGTAATGAACTGGCTCCAAAGGTTAATAAAAGGTCACTGCCCCTTCTGACAGATCAGCCTTTTCCTGGCAGGACAATTGTCAGAATGTATCTCCCCAAGGCAAGCTGAAGTGGCAACACTGACCCACTCCAGAGGTGCTCAGAGCAGTGTCCCTGCTCCTCAGATGAATTCTCCTCCCTCTCTGCAGTCACCTCCAATTCAAATGTTTACTGCTGTGCAAAATAACAGCCAGTCGTGTGTCACCTCATTTTTGTTGCAGCAATCACTTTAACCATGAAAAATGAAGAATTAGGAAGAGCTGGGCATTAAAGCCCTAGAATTGTGTGACATTTCCAACAGCACACTGAAGAACAGTAGAAATAAAGCAGGTCAGAGACATTCCAGAAAGGCTTAACAAATCATTCAGAGATGCCCTGAGAAGTTATCTAGGAATTAATATAAAACAAATTGTTACTATTCTACTGAGAAATTAAACAAAGAACCAGTATTTTTACTAGAGTATTGCTCTGGGAAAGAAACACAAAGAGAAATTCAGGATCACTGGAAGGAAAAGCCTTTGCACCTCAGCCCTGCAGACACCAATTCTGCTCATTTCATGAGGGACAATGTAACACAGAGGCAAAATGAGCTGCCTGGTGCTGCAACCAGCTCCAGGTCAATGTCATTAACAGAGCACTTACAGCCCAGGCCAACCCCCAGAGCACCCTGAAGCACCAGACACATCCTCAGGGCTTTTTAACAAAGAGACCATACCTGGTTTTCTAGGGACACCTGCAGGAATAACTACAACATCACAGCCCTTCAGACACTCAGGCAACTGCTCAGGTCCCAGGAAGCCTGGAATGGAAAACATTCAGGCATTATGTTTTTGCCTGTTATTAAATATCTAACACTTGGAAATACAAAATTACACCCAGAGGTAGCAAATTCTTTTTTTAATCTAGCCTTCCATTCAGACTTCTGCTGAAAAGCAAAAAAAAAAATGTAATTATAGATGTTTTATCTTTGATTTTTGATCCTTGTTTCAAATCTTACAGAATGAGAGGGGTGGGAATGTCACATTCAGCTCTTTCAAAAACCCTCAGTTCCTCCTGCTTTGTGTATTTACTCTCCAAAAACCCCAGCTGGGCACTAGAGTCAGTGCCCCCAGAGAAGTGCAGACAGGCACATTCTAGTGGAATGTAACCCCTTGGGGATCTGCAGATAAAATGAAGATCACGAGACTAAGTTCTGATGTCATCAGAACTTGACAGATGTCTCTTCAGAAAAGCAGCAGGCAGAATCCATATAGACACCCAGGGAATGTTAAGTCTCTTTGCAGCCAACCTTTTAAATTCAAGACTCAGGCTTTTTTTCCAAGATGCTTTTATTAAGCATTCAAGTCATTCAAGTCCCCTTCAGTGCAACCACATTCTCATCTCCATACACATCCACCTCATCAGCTAAACCTTCAGTCATGCACCCCTTGAGGACAAGCTACTTAAGGGGATACCAGGCTTCAGGATCAGAGGAAAATTTCCTTTCCCAAGCAAGGAGCATCTCCCATGTGTCACAGACACCCGAGAGGATCCTTTCCATCAGCAGGCAGTACCTTTAACTTTGGCTCTTGTCTCAATGTGGCTGAGATCAGCTGCAACACCTGGAGTGTGGGCAATGTCATAGAGGCTGAGTCTGCTGACCAGGGGGCTGTTCTTCAGGAGCAGGGAGAGGGGCTGCCCAATGCCCCCTGAGGCCCCCAGCACTGCTACCTTGGCATTGCTCTGAGGGGGGAAAAAAGAAAAAAAAGAAAATAAAAAAGATAGCAAACACACATGAGAGATGTCCTGGTAGCTACTGCAGCAGTGACCTTGGGGGATTTCACCACACTTTCTTTACTTTTAGTTCTGTTTCTCAATTTCTTTATCAAGCACTATGCAAATTTGATTGCCTAAGCCCACAGCAAATGACTACCACGACAGCCTCCCCAAAATCCTTGAGGTTGATTAGTAGGACAAGTGAAAGGAAAACGTTCTTTTGTGATCTGAAGCTCAAAAGGGAAACATGGTGAGGCCAAGAAAACAAAAGGACCATCTGCCTTCAGATGGAAAGTCTGCCTGAGACTAAAACCTGCCACCCTGTGGAGCCAGACCTGATTGAGGGCAAAATCTGCAGGTTTTCTGGTTTTCTTTGCCAGTATGAACAAAATATGCCTTCCCACTTGAAAAAAATCAATTAAATTAATGGGCTAAATGTAATAACCATGTGAAGAAAATGTGCACTCCTGAAATAAACACCTGCAGCTGCTTCAAGATTGAGGCCTGAGAACATGAATTACAATTACCAGCTTGGATCAAGCAAGGAAAATCAATTCTTGCTTTGTTGCTCTGGTGAACTGATTTTACACTAACATGTTCTCTGGAAGAAAGCTGTCTCTCTTGAAAATGTCTGCACTCTTCTTTGTAGAGAAAGTGTTACCAGATAAAGAGAAAAGCTGACTTGGAAGTGCAGAGCAGTTTTAAAAGGCAACACAAAGGGAGGGACAACCAGAGGCTGCTGCAGAGATTAGACAAGGTTAATACAACTACTGCTGATAAGGGCATTTCTCTATCACTCTGTCTTATCAGATAAAGCCACAACAGCTCCAAGCCCCCACATGAACAGCCCAGTTATTATGTTATGACAAGAAATAATCTACCTAGAAGCTCAATCAGCCTAAGCTCAGTTTCCCTGCTACTGCAACAATTTAGCATGAAGCATCACAAGGAGAAGCAAAGTCTAACATTAGTCACTGCTGTGCCCCACATTTATGGCTGAACTGATACCATGAGGTCAAAAATCTCATTGCTAATAAGCTTGATTCCTGTAGAAATTACACAAAGCTTTCTTGCAAAGCACATCTTTACAGCCACCATAATCATCCTGTCAGAGGCCACTGGGAGCTCTTTACGTTAGAGGTCAGTCTCTCTGGACCCACCAGGCAGCACCAGTCCCCTCCTGGTTCCCAATCACACGCACTGGATTTCAGGATGTGAAGGATTATGGCTAAAGCACCAACCTCCAGCTTTTAACTCTTTCTACATGCTGAAAACGAGGGCGTGTTTCAGCAGAGGGAGGAAGGAAGGAAGCCAAACTGCTTCTCAAGCCCACGGCACACCGCCAGAAAGGGAAGCTCATTTAGAACCAACCGACTCGGCCACCCAGTTTACACCTGAGAAAGGCCTGAGAGCGGCTGTTCCACCGGGCAGGCAGACACAGCACCAACCCAGCCCCTCAGAACCGAGCCCCTCGCGGCAGCCCCCCACTGACACCCACACCCCTCAGCCCCACACACAGGAAGGCCCAGACCGGCTGCTTCTCAGCCCCCTCACAGAGGCCGAGAGGCCCCGCTCC